TGGGGGTCAAGGCAATGGCAGTGACAGTGGTGACTGCCTCCTGGTCCAAGGATCTCGGGAGCCACTCCAGTGGGCGCCCAATCCCTGGAGAGGCCTGGATGGTTCCTCGCCGGAACCGCTGGATGCACCCAGCTGTTCCGGAAATCTGCCTTCGTCTGGCTGAGACCGATTGGGGTCCCCCGCCCAAGGCCACCGCCGAGCTCCACAGATGCCCACTCCGGGGTGCACCTGTGCCCTGTCAGCAGGCGCAGAAGAGGGACGTGGCTGGGGGCCATCGCGCCGGACTCGAGGGTCTGCTGGGATGCCAACTGCGCATCATGAACTACTCAACTACAGCCCCACGGTGGCCGACGGCTTAGCTCCTGCCGCCGACCTTGCACGCCCCCTCCCCAGGATCCCTGCCTTCTGCTCAGCCCCTTCCCCATTTGCCTGCAGCCCACAGAGCCCAGCACATTGCTCTCTGGAGCGGGAAGGAAAAGCCCACTGCTCCGAGGACGAAGCACGAGACGTATGTGAACGGACACATTTTTGTCCTGGTGAGGGACCACACAGGGCTTCTCCACCGGGACTGCTCTTCGAGCAAGGGTTAGAAGTCCTCAGATTCACAAACGGCCCCTATAAAGGCCACAGTCCGGCCCCAGAGCCCCGAGTCAGCCGCTGAACCTCACAGCCTCCCGGCCGGGACCCAGCACAACTGCGCCTGAGCCGGCGTGGCCAGACCAGCACAGGGTCTGCTGCTGCCCAGCCGGGAGGGCCACACCGCCAATCTGCAACAAGGTGCAGCCCCAAGACGCCACCCTGTCTCGAGAGTAGGGGCTCTGGCCTCTACTGGTATGCTGAGTGTGAAGACTTGGCTGGGGCAGCCACTCTGGGCCACGAGGCAGGAAGCAGCAGGAAGCGAGTAACGGGGACAGTGCGTGGGCAAGGACACTAGCAGCGTCCATCTGTCAGAGCGCTCGTCTCTAGACTTCACTCACTGGAGGGAGACAAGCGCAGCGCCCTGCCGGGCCCTCAGGCTTGCCCCTCCGCCCTCCGCCGATGGAGTCTCACTGTGTTTCAGTGACTCTCACACCGCTGCTTACCCAGGAAGCAAAGGACAGAAGGCACCAGCACTCATCCATGCCCATTACAAACACACCAGGGGAGATGGGCCCCAGCACCCCCCCCAAATTTCAGAAAAGAAAAAAAAAAAGAAAATCCTCAAAGGCCAAGGTCGTGAACATGCTAGATAAGAAGCTACGGGAAGAGGTCTTCATCCTTTCTGCACAAAACCAGCAGAGCCAGCCACCAGGAATCCAAGACCCCTGGGAGAGCGCCGCCCTTCCCCAAAGCTTCCACCTCCTGGCCTCAGGCAGCCCCGCTCAAGACGTCCCACGCAGGAGACCACAGCACCCCTCTGGGGAGAGCCCACCCAGGCCGCCCGCTCCCACGCTGCTCACCCCAAGACACATCCCTGGCCTCGGCAGCAGAAGCAGGTGCCCTCCTGGCTTCCACCCTCCCTCTGGGTCCAGGCCACCTGCACAGCCTCCTTCCTTCAGAGGATCCCTGACTACAGCAGGTGACCTTCGGAGAAAGCAGAGGGGTCCTGGTGCTGGGGGCGGGGCGCCCGGTCCCAGAGACACCAGGGAACCACCTCTAGGAAGCTCAGCAGGGAGGCACATGGAACCCCGGCCTCACGCCTGGGCCGTGGGCACAGCTTCGGGGGGCCTGAGCAGACAGCAGCACTGAGAGGCTCCCGCGGACAGAGGCTCTCACAGGACCTCCCCAGGCTCAGAGAGAAAAGTCGGAAACAGCAAGAATGAGACGAAACTGTTCGATCCCAGGGTCCGCATGCCCCCTGAGAAGACACCAGGAGCAGAGAGAAGCTGCCTCCCCCCAGCACCCAGCCTTAGCTTCCTCCCAGGCATGTGGGACCTGCAAAATTCACGCAGAGGCCAGCAGGGCAGGCCAGCCGCAAAACGCACGGCCGGGCGCCAGGATGTCCCGGGGGACCGTGGAGGGGTGTGTGTAGGACTCTCCCACAGAGCCAGGGAAAGGGCGGCTGTGGCTTTGCCAACCTGCCCCCAGCCCCGGCCAGGCCAGGCCCCCTCGGCAGCTTCCGGCAAACGTTTAAAGACACAGTAGAACGGTCATGGAGAAACCAAGCACCCCCCACGCCTCTCCTGCCCCAGGGCTTGGGGGGGCTGAGACCAAAGGCAGAGCCGCCCAAGCATCCCGGCCAGACCCCTCCAAGATCACAGGAAGAACCAGGCCCCCAACCTAAGGACACAAGCTCCGACTGCAGCCTGAAGGCAGGCCCGGGGGCCACGCACACCCCTCACCCCACCACACTCCGCTGGACTGTCAAGGTGGTGGGGCGCCCTCCCTGCCGGAAAATACACGGGGAACTCTGTGGCGACAGGAAGCACACCCTCCCAAGTGGGGAACAGGCACTGCTGTCCGCCCGAGACCACAGGAGTGTCCTCCGCACTGCTCTGCACGTGAAGGGCCCCAAACCTCTCTCCTGCCTCAACACCAGATGCCCACCCCCGGCCCAGGTCTCGTGTGGCCCTTTTCACAGGTGGGGCCCCCAGATGATCCTGGCCAGCTGGAGAGACCCTCAGTGTCTCCCACACAGCTCTTCCTGCCCAAGTGGGTGAGCAGTGCCTGACCCGGGAGGGACCATGAGCCACCAGAAAGCAAAGGACAGCAAAAACCCACCATGTCCGAGGCCCTGTGCCCCTGGAGCAAGGAGGGCGGCAGGTGCTGCCTCACGCCAGCCAGAGGGGGTGATCAACGGCGGGAATGGCAACTGGTCATCAGTCTGCGTCGGGGACACATGACAGCCACGGTGACAAGGTGTCACCTCCCACCTGTCAGAACGGCTCAAATCAACATGAGAAACAACCGGCTGGCGAGGACGCGGAGAAACGGGAGCCTCGTGCACTGCCGGGGGGACGCGAGCTGGTGCGGCCGCTCTGGCCAACCGTGCGGAGTTCTGTCCACAGCCCGAAGGAGAACTGGCCTGCGACCCAGCGACCCGCTGCCGGGCTGCCCGCAGACGCACAAGCACGCGCGTGTCCACCGCCAAGGCGAGACGTGCCACACACACGACGGAGGGGACTCGGCCGTCAGGAGGGGGAGCGCTCGCCACCTGCCGCTGCGTGCGCGTGGCTGTGTGACACCGAGAGGCGTCACGCTAAGCGAAGCCAGTCCGTCGCGGAAAGACAAACACCGTCCGACTTGACTCGTATCCGGAGCTGAACACACAGAAACACGCACGTGCGAAGGAGACGGCGACCGACCCAGGAACAGACTCCGGCTACAGAGAACGTGCCGGCGGTCCCCACGGGAGGGGTGTGAGATGGGGCCGAAGGGAGCCCCGGTGAGCTCCAGTGTCACAGGGAAGGGCTAAGTCCCAATGCTGTCCACGTGACACAAGATCCCACCCTGTATGTCAACTGCAATTCTTTTAAACTTAACAAAAAACGGGACACGGCCACAGGAGCAGGAGCCGGAGGCCTGCGCTGCCCGGGAGTGGCCTTCGCCCCTGCGGTCCCTTCCAGTCCCACGGACACACCTGCTGGGCCCCTGCCCTGGCCACTGCGGGGCTGCCTGGACCCGAGCCGGGCGGCCCAGGAGGGCGCACACACAGGCTGTCCACACGCCAGGGGACACATGGCCACGGCGTGGGTGCAGACCGCCCGGCGTCACGGGGGCAGGAGGAGGACGGGAGCGCGTGGCCCGCATGTGCGCCACATCACGGGGAAGTGCGCACAAGCCTCGCAGCAGAAACACTCCGAGTTCAGAGAAGAAACCAGAACAGAGGTGTGAGGGTGGTTTCCCCAAATACCGCAGCGCTTCCCAGCCTGTGCACAATCTCCCGTTCCTGACTAAGGCGCAACACACGAGGCCCGAATGGGAGCCGGGCGGGGGGCGGAGCTGCAGGAAGGAAGGAGGGAAGAGGACGGCCTCTGCCCAGGCCAGGAGTCTGCCCAGCCCTTCCAGAACGCTCTCCTTACCCTGAGACCCAGAAGGCCGCCCACCACCGCCAAATACACCCACGTCTGGAGAATGACCCCAGGACAGCCCACAGGCAGGGCCCCTTAGGGACCACGAGCATGCCCCCCCCCTTACCGGAGCCCCAGAACCCCTGCCCTCCTCCTTCCCGGGGCCATGCACTCCTCTCAGCGGAGCCTGGAGCACACGGGCCCACCCCTGCACTGACCTCCGGTGTCAGGTCACAAGCAGCCCTGCACACTTCTAGCCACCAGGCCCCACGCAGTGAGAAGCCGCGACAGCCCCTTCCAGGAACCAGGAGCCAGCACGGAGCTCTGCAGGCAGGCAGCTAGGGTGTCCCTCCAGAGGAAGGCCGCTCCCCCATCCTCTTCTCTCCCGGGGGCAGAGGTGGCCAAGGGCGTGAGGAGTTGAAGCACACGGTTCCCCGATCCCCGCACACCCCGCCCCACCCGCAGCCTTTCCACTCTGCAGGAATCTCAGGGTCAGGGGCTCACGGGGAGTCACGGCCCTCAGGACACCACGCAGGTGCCCAGCAGAGAGGGACAGGCAGCCTGCTCCTGCTTCACTGTCCTGCATCCCGTGGACGGGTCCATGCAACACCAGCACAAGGAGCCCAGTGCACACCCGTCTACACAGCACGCCCAAGAATCTTCCAGAATGATGCAAACGGAAAAGCGGGGGCCGGGAAGGGAGACCCACGCCCACCAGCCTGAGGCGCAGGTGCCTGCCACGGACCCTCCACTGGGGCCCGTTAGCAGCCAGATGGCCCTGGGGTCCTCAGCGGAAGAGCCCGCCTGGGACAGACACCTGGGCTTTGGGGCTGCTGGCTGAAGGACGCGTGGCCAGTGTCTCCAGGTGCTCCTGGGCCGTAGCCACTCCCACTCCTGCCGGGTTGTCCCTGATTGAAGACTGGGCGCTCCTACCCCCACCCCGCCCCCTGGCAGGGAGCCCCTCCAGTAAGGCAAGCTGGGCCAGAGCACGGGAAGGCGGGGGGGAGTTACACTGGGGGACCCTGGGGTAGAGGCACCAGGTGGCCGCCTGCCGGGACCAGCAGCCTATCTGCCCCAGGAGCGGGAGATCGGGGCCAGGAGAGAGGAGAAAAGTTAGCCGCCAGCCCTGCAGGCCACACGCTGCGCCGTCAACAGTGAAGTCTCGGTATTGGGGGAACGCACCGCGAGGACAGCGTGGACAAGCCCGGCCGTGTCTGTCTGAGGGCTTCTGGGCAAGCAGTCACGGTGCAGAAATGCAAACTAGCTCCCCCGCCCTGATTTGTTTTTTTTTTCAATCACACAGCAAGGCTCTCCCGGTGCCTGAGCCGGTGCGAGGGGCACACCAACCGCACGCCGTCCCGCACTCCCGGCCACCCGGGCGCCCCTCGGCCGCACTCCCAGCCCCACGCGCACGGGCGGCCCCAGGGACAGCCGCCTGCTCTGCTCCTCCGGGGGGCACCTCGCTCTGGGGGGCGGCGCTGCCCCAAGCAGCTCCGGTTTCCATCTGCCCGAAACCAGGCCTGTACGCGCGTTCTCGGCTTCTGACGCCATTTTGAAGCTGCTGAAACACGTCACCTTGGGGCCTTGCAATTCTGACCTTTTGGCATGTTTTTCAACCCCTGAAAGGCCTTGTCCAAGCTCCTGCCTGGCGTCCATGCCGAGGGCGAGGGTCGTGGGAACTCGGGAGGCGGCAACAAAAATCAGAGCAGTGACCTTTCGACCCGGGCCTCTGCGCGGCCTACGAGGGGGCTGGGGGTGGGGCGCCCCCACAGCCAGGCCCCCCCGGCCCCAGGCTCCTCAGCTCAGATGGCCCCGCACCTGCCCATGGGGCCACTGCCCCCTGGAGAAAAAGAAACAAGCCACCAGGACAGGCATGACCCCCCACCCCCAGCCTCCCTGAACCAAGGAATACTGCCTGTTGTTTGGGCACCAGGTCCTTTTTTGAGAAGTGGCTTTCTAGAAACCTGGCCAGGCGGCCCTTCCCCCCACCTCAGCCTCACCGTGAAGACATGTGTCCTCAGCTCCTCTCCAAGCCCTTCCGCAGCCAGCCTGGATAGGGGGAGGGGTGCCCCAGGGTCCCCGAGGGCCAGGCAGCCCACCTAGGAGCCCCTCAGGGGCAAGGGCTGCATCCCTGCTCCAGGGGGGCCTGCAGGAGAGGTGAGGTGCACCCCAGCACTGGGGGGCTCCAAGGAACAAAGGTTTCTATGGGGCAGGAGCCACTCAGCATCTCGGGAGCGCCTGGGTCCGTACACGGTGCGCAGAGAGCACAAGGCCCTTGGGTGCCACAGTGCGACGGGTCCCCAGACCCCATAGTGTGCGGCGGGTCCCCAGACCAGCCCCTCACCTGGGGCATGAGCAATGGGCTGCCACAGGCCCGCCTGTAAGCAAAGCCGACCACACGAGGCTTTGGGGCCAAGCCCCCAGGAAGGAGGCCGTCTCCCCACAGTTCCACCAAAGCCCCAGCAGACTTCTGGGGGTCCGGGGCCATCCACCCGGATCAGTCGGGGAAAGCTGGAAGGGAAGGGGCAGCATGAGGGTGAGCCTGACCCCAGGTGAGGGGACTGTCCCAGAGCACGGGCCAATGGACAGGGATCCTGCTGCAGGCCCCAGGGTCCCCACGGCCTTGCCCAGGGATGGCACAGCAGGAGGGGGCTCGGGGTGACCTTGTCCGTCTGTCCCAGGCCTGCCGCCACAGCTGACCCAGCGGAGAGCCCTGCAGGGGACAAGCTGGTCTGCGCCGTCAGCTCAAGGGTCGCCTGCAGTCAGAGCAACCCCGCTCCTCCGCCGCCAGCGTTCAGGGACCTGAAGGAAGAAAAGGGGCCTGGGCTCTGCCCCACCCCCAGCTCCCCTGGAGACGGGACAGCCTGAACTTTTCACCCCTCAGCACAGACATCAGGAGGAAAGGGCTACAAAGGTGTCTGCCAGGGAGGGGGAGCCTGACACCATCCGCCGTGTGCTCCTCCCCTGACCCCCTCCAAAAATGTGTATTGCCCGTTTTACAATCACCAGATGGAGGCCCCAGGCCTGCAGGCCTCCTCACCCCCTGTGACCTCTCGTAAACATAAGCGGGGACAGAGCCCAGGACCTACGGCCACACCCCCACTCCCGGGGCGGGGGGCGGGGGGGCCCGCTGCAGGTCAGCCGGCTGCATCCAGCCCTTGGCATGGCGGGGGGGGAGTGACCAGCATCTCAGACCCGCTCATGCTGAGAACCAGAAACAACCTACAACCCAAGAGGCAGTGGCCCCAGACGGCAGATGAGCAGGCACCAAGGCTGGTGGGCTGCCCTGCAGGGAAACAGGCTTTGCTCCCCCATCGCCCCACTCAGGAGCAGTGAGCGCCAGCCCAGGGCGGGGGCCCCCACAGGAGGGGGACATGCAGGGACGCGGGTGGGTGTTGGCGGATTCACACGCCCACCCTGATCATCAGCACTCCCTGGGCCTGCACAGGCAAGGAAGAGAACAAAGATGAGCCAGTCGCGCAGGGCCTCTAGTGAGGGCAGAGGGCAAACCCACGGTCTCCGGATGAGGACGCCGCCACTGTCACCCACCAAGCCTCCAGGGCCAGGGGGGACAGGCGGTGCCAGAGCAGACGTGGTCGGATCCTCCTTCCTCCACAAGGACCCTCTCCTGCGCTGTTGTCACGCGGCCAACTGCCTGTGCCCTCACTGCCCCCAGGCTCCTCCTGCCTGTGTCTTCACTGCCAGCCAGTGCTCCCGTCCCCAGCAGCCCCACCGCTAGCCTCGACAGTCACTCAGGGCCCTGGGAACAGAAGCTCGCAGCCAGACCCTCATCAAGCCTGCCCCAGCCTGTCCCCCCGGCCCCCGCAGCACGGTGTGGCCTCCTTGGGACTTACCAGCAGCAGCCTGTGCGCCGCGCTGGCCAGAGGTATGTGACAGACGTCAGGGCAGGCCCAGGGCCACAGGAGGTCAGGTGCGCGCGCTCCTGCAATCCCGACAGCGGGGCCACACCAAGGCCCAGGGCGGCAGGGACATCAGAGCCGCGATGAGCAGGTCCCCGCCGTGAGTGGCGGGGGGACCCCACTGCGCACAACTCCACCGACAGCCCCACGGGACAGTCTGCAGCTTCCAAGCAGGTTTCTTGGAGGGTTCCAGGGCAGGCGGCACCCACACTCCCGGCCTGCCCTCCCTGAGCTGAGGCAGGGCCCCTCACCCCTTGGTGCTGCAGCCCCCCTCAAGCAATTCAGGGAAGACACCCCACAACCAGGGAGAGAACCACACGATAAAACCAGCAGGAAAACCCACCCTCACCTCCAGAACCAAACCAAATGTGGTTCAGGATGGTCCTGAGTGACCCACGGTCTGCAACCCGCGATGAGAGGGCGGACAGGGGGGCAAGGGTCTTCGGCCCCAACTGTTCCTCACCATCTTCTCCAGTGTCCACGGCCTCCGCCCCACGGCCCCCCTGTGGTCAGCCGCCACTGCCGGGGGGCTGGGCGAGGGCTCCGGGGGCCTGACCCGTGGGGGTCCTGCTGTGGCAGCAGAGTCCGCGCACAAAGTAAAATGCCACTCAGCAGCCGGGACGCAGCCAGCGCCTCCTCCCTACCCCACAGGCCGGACACCGCTCCACGGCCAATACCATCCAGTACCGTCTGCCCCAGATGCCCCGCCCGACACTCAGGTGTGCTCGCCCCAGACACGGATCCAACACCTGGCTACAGCTGTCCGAGAGCCTGGACGAGGGAACAGGGGACGCACACTCGGGCTGCCGCACCACGGAGGAAGCCAGCCGCCTGGAAAGACCCAGAACGTCAGTATAGACAACATGGTACCCGCTTCCCGGGTCTCAGAGCACACCTCGTATCCTCTGTGCTGCAGCCCTGTGCCCAGGAGGTCCAGGGTGAGGGCTGGCAGGCACATCTGGGAGAGGGAACGGTACTCTGTGGGGCACCCCGAGAAGGGTCCTGCGTGTGGGGGCCCTGGGACAGAGTCTCTAGGAATGAGCGACCTCCCCCGAGGGGCCAGCGCAGGGTGCGGCCCTCCCCGGACCTGCAAGGATCGTCCAGACAGCCAGGGCGGCCACGGTCCCCTCGGTGCGGGAGCAGCAGCCACAGTGCATGGAGCCGACCACAGAGCCGGGGCTGGCCCCGGCTGCTCAGAATGTCCAGCCGAAGTGGCCTCATACGAGCTCTGAGCACAAACCGGCGAGAGGCCCACACCTCGCAGGCGAGAGGGGCTTCCGCTCACTCCCAGCACCTGCTCACAGGCAGCAGGGCCTGGGACCGGCCCCCGAGAACTGTCCCGGAGCACCCAGTCCGCGATCCGAGCCGGCCCCGGGGCGCCCAGGCCGCGGTGTCCCTGAAGCACGCGCGGGCGCGGGGTCCGAGAGGGGCAGCACCCGCCGCGGAAGCAGCCTTTCCCCGGTGCTCGGGCCCAGCACCCGCTCCACGCACCCAGCGTGCTTCAGACGAGAGCAGAGCAGCGCTGACCCCGGGTCCCGGGCGACCCCACCCCGAGGCAGCGCCCGAGACCACAACACCACCCTCAGGCCCGGCCAAGACCCCGCGTCACTGACCAAGCAGGCCTTTGGCTCTAGCTGGACGCGGCACCTCGGGGCCACAGGTGACGCTCACGTGACAGAGCGCAGGTCAGCCTCGCCGCCCTGTTCACCCTGAGCCGCGTCACAGACCTGTCCCCTCCTCACACGGGGCGGGGGGATCGCACTGTCTGCAAACTTGTACAAACAAGCCAAACGGCGATCCTGACTCGGCTGACCCCTGCGCGGCACCTGGAGGGAAGCGTGAGTCCCACGGCCACCGCCTCGCTGCCGGCCGGGCCTGTGCTTGCAGGTGCGCCGAGAGCTCGCGGATGCCAACCCTGGTCTCCCAGGTGTCGCCCGGAGCGCGGACGCGAGCTGGTTACCAGACCCCAGGCGCCGGCACGCTGCAGCTGCCAGACTGAATAGTCAAAATCACGGCACTTTGTTCATCATCAATCCCGACTAAAATTGAAAAGGCAGTGATGAAGATGTTAACAAAGCGAATTTAATGCAGCCAAAATTATTGCAA